ATTTGAGGGAATGCACTGATGGAAACTGAGTCAGCAGACAGTCCTGAAAATGAGACTTTCAAATCTATGATTGGAGAAAGCATTTAGCAGAATCTCCTCGAACAACAGCATTACTGACAGGATATGTTTTTCAAAAGTGCCTCTGTAGAAGCATTGAGTCTCACTGAAAAGTCCCCTGACTGGAAATACTTTGACTAGATATTTTTGCACAACAGCCAATTCTATTAATTGAAGGCACATTATTTCATACTGAAAGTACTTAAAAACATTCAGTTAGGGGAATGGATGGCTCAGGGAATTAGCAACGGGGTACAGAGCTAAATCACTAGCTCAACTGGAAGCAGCCACAAAGCACTATCATGAGACAGTTGTTTGGGGGTGTTGAAATGAGCTTGCAGAGTCAGCCTGGCTCCCAGTGGAAAGCTGTCCACATCACAAGAATAATCCTCACAACTGGCACTAGTTGGCACTCTTATCAACAGTCTTAGCAGAAAGGGCCAGGTCTCAAACAGCACAGAGACTGACCCACCCTCTGCTCTCTTGACGTTAGAGCTGAAAGTACGTGAACAGGGCAGTTTGGGGAAGTTCACGTTGGTGCTGACTCTGCTGTATCTCCGCTAGGATAAAGACTGTTGTTGTTCCAGGCTGTCAGCTGGCATCTCTCGCTCAAAGTGAAAAAGATTAACAAAAATGTTCAGCTTATCAGATGGTTCAATTTACTAAACCCCATGACATCACTCTTTATAAAGAGATTCACTGGTGCTGTCACAGTGTCAGTTTGGGTGGAAATGTAGCCATTATGCAAATATGCCTAAACTGTAGGTGAAACAAATTTCTACAAACAAAATAAAATATGTTATTGGACATAGTGTTTAACTGATAAATTGTCAGAATACAATATAATCCTACTTAGCCCTTGTTTCTTCTTACTCCAGCAAGTCACTCAGAGAACACAGTAGAAGTCTAGCATAAGTATGGAATAGATACTGATTTCTGAAGGAGACTTGTAGAGTCCTTTTAGACTATTAGGAATGATACTAATGCTGGGCACTAGAATCAGTGTTGCTCTCCTGACTTCAGCTGGGGAACTCAACCAAGAAGTGAACTCACTCCACAGTAGACATGGGGCCCTGTCTACCTCAGGAAATTGTGCTGAATTTGTTTAAAACTACAGCAGCCCTTAATCACCCTAATTTAAAAAGGGGCATGATTATCTGGATTGAATATTCTAGGCCAAAACATGTGCAGTTCTGATTCAGAAAGTGTAACACTTTAAGAAGCAAGGTGGTTTGGGGGGCAGGAATTAATCAGTATCTGACTTGCTCAGCGTAGTCTGGCTAAATGTATTTCAGGTCAGTATAGAAAAAAAGTTACACCCCCAAAAGCTTTATAGCTCATTTTCTAGTGTGGTCAGGTTTACTGATACCAATGACAGAAACATGGGTGAATAAAAAGGATATTCCTGTTATTACTGGAGGACAGCCCAAATAATTTGGTTAGTAAAGGGCTTTCCCCTCTAGCCCACAATTTTTCTGAGGTGCATGAAAATAAGTTGGTGCTCCAACAGAGCCCTTTATGTACAGTTTTTTTCTTTTCTCTTTTCCTGCGAAAACGCCTGTGGCATCATCTCCTCTGGTCTGTGACACCTTCTCAGCTGTCTGCTTATGGGGGTTTTAGTATTCTTCAAATAAGCTCCTCAGTAACTTTTAAATGAAAGAGTGATGAGAATAGATAGCTGTTGCTATAAAAAAATAAGAAAGGGCATCCTGAGTACTCCCACCAGGTGATTTCTTACCAGTTTCCAGGATGAGAACTTTTGGTATGGAAGAAGAGCAGAATTTTGTTCACAGAGCTGTCAGCTGACAGCTTCTTGCAATACCTCTTTTCTGAAGAGGAGTCATGAGGCCAAAATAGGAATCAGGTGGATGAGACCATGACACAACAGAAAGGAGGGGGCTAGCAAGGCCACAAGTTTCCCTCTCAAGTAGACTACAGCAAGTAGGAAAGAGTCAAGGCCTGTTATGGGAAGAAAAATGTGTGGAAAGGAAGTCACAAGGTCTGATAGGGGCTATCAAATACTCTGGTAATGGTAATTCAGATAAATACCAAGCCCTTTTTTCTGAATTAGAGATCTGAAAAATTTCAGGTCTTATTGCTCCAAGTATCAAGTATGAGTTGCCACTTTATTAACATCTGTTGCAAAACCAAATGAATATAGAATACGCGTGTTTCCAGCTCTGTATAGCAACATTAATAAGAATATGTATAATGATAAATTGTGCTTCTGTTCTATTCTACTCATTATCTTTTCATACATAAATCTAAGGTATAAAAAAATCACTGATATGGTTTTAGTTTTTCATTAGTTTCTCTCTCAAGAATTAGGAAATAGATTTCTTCTGTTATTTAATAAGAATGTTGTAGGTTTTATGTGGGTGTTACAAGCATTAGGGATGTGTGAGTAATAAAATCCTTTTAACATTTGAGTACCACCTTTGTAATAACATTTCTAAAGAGTACTACCTATGGGTGCATAATGAGATTACATTTTTCACGTGATGAGGCCCCTGAAAGCACGCTACACCTGTAATGTAACAAAAGTTCATGGCTGCACAGCGTTTTTAAATTGGTCAATTGCATGAAAATTTAACCCTCATCTGATGAGTTATCAGATGAAGGTGCTCTAGGGCAGAACCTTAGGGCTCTGCACAGGTTGAGAGTGCGGGTTACTTTTAGGAGAATTTGCCCACATCCCAAGTGCTTTTGTCCAGAATCTCTCAATCCTCACACCTTTGTGCTTGCCTCCTCTGTCTGCCCGAGTGCAGGATCATCCCCGCCTCCAGGCTGTCAATAACAGCCTCTGTCCCAGCCCCACCTCCTCCCTCCAGCCAGCTGAGAGCCACAGCCTGGCTAGAGGGAGGTAAGGGGGGGATGGTTTCTCTCTCTGAAATGTCCCTGGGACCAGAGGAGCCAGCAGCCCAGCCAGGCATACTGTGGGAAGAGGGGTCTCTTCCTCTGTTTGCTCCAAGACCGGAGGAACAATCAGCCCAGCTGGGCAAGCTGTGGCAGGGGAAAGGATCTCTCCCCAAAATATGCCCAGGAACAGGGGAGCCAGCAGTCAGCTTGGGCCTGCTGTGGGGGGAAGGGTCTCTGCCCCGCAACACACCCAACCATGCTGATCACTCTCCTGCTCCTGGAGGAGCAAGCAGCGGGAGAGACTCTCCCCTCCCCCCCCCCCCGAGGG